CACATGTTCACTGGTGAACTCTAACTTCTAAGGTTAGATCCTAGGTAGACTGTTAAATGTGGGAATGTGGAGCTCAGGGAAGAAGAGAATAAATTAAGTTTAGAACAATAAAAATATGAATGACATCTAACTTATTACTTAACCTAGAAAATAGAATTTCATAGTTGATATTTGGCAAATGCTACTTGCTAGAAAACATGCTTATACTCTATTGAATTTTAAAGAACAAACAGTTGACATTTAGAGAAGACTGGATCTTTTTATTTTGTTATTGCAGAAATCCTCGCAGGTCTCTCTAAGTTTTCTTTTGGGGGACTAATGAGGAAATCTGGCTCTGAAAATGGTGCTCAAATTCTGAGTAAATTTCCCTTAAACAGTCTTAGATTAAAAAAACAACACACCCATGCTTTAGTAGTCTGATTTATGAATGGTTTTCAAAATGTTTTAAGAAGTAAAACAATCACCTATCATTTCAGCATTCTGAGACTACGGTATTTAATTTTTTGTATATTATCAAGAATACAAAATCATTATTTTGTATTTTGATTTAATTTTTAACCTTGCATGTCTTGAAAGTTTTCTGAGTTTCAAACTATTTATTTATAGAACACATTTTTCAATCTCTACATAATATTTCATTACATGCTATACTCTAATTTTCTTATGGCTTGACATTTATTTTATTTATAGTTTTCTATTATTATAATAGAAAATTGCATTGCATGAACCATTACCAAGCCTTTCATTATACTTATCTTCATTTCCTTATGTTAGATTCCTAGAAATTGGAAAGTTATTTAAGATTCTATGGCACTATTGCTGTCTTGTATTCTAAGCAGGTTGTACCAATTTATTACTACATGCAAAATGTGAAAACACTTATTATTGCCAATATTAGGTATTGCCTTGGCTAATTTCATACAAAATACATAATTTTTAAATTTTATATGCATATTTCTAGTTACTAAGGAGGATTAACGTTTAATATATTTTTCCACGTTTATTTCTTCTTTCTTGTTATTCAGATATCTTGCTCATTCTTCTAGGGAGAATTGCTTGTATTTATTATGTATTTACAAATTTGGGAGGATGACAAGAACTGTGTCTCTTTTGTACACATTTTCAAAATTGTCTCTAGGATCATTATCCCTTTCATTTTTGCATGTAATGACTTTGTTTCTAGAAGTCATACATTATATGTAGTCAGTGCAACTCTTCCTTTCATGTTTTCCTTTCTTTGTATGCTAATACATTCTTTCTATACCCTGACATCAAGTAAATAGTCACCATTATTTTCTTAGTGTTATCATATATACTTGAAATTTTAGTTAAACTGAAAATGAGTTTGGTTTTAAGTGTGATGTATAAGATAAGGATATCTCAAATTTATTCTTAATATCATGTATTGATTAATCAATACAATTTTGAAGATATAACAGTATTTCTCAACAACTTCTTTTAGTTAATTAATTTACACTACATACCTGTTATGATTCAGAGTATTGTTGTTTTTCAAGTTCATGATGATAAAACCACTTATATTTGTTGAATGCCTTTGCCTGTCTTTTTAAAAATTACACTTGACCTTTAAAATATTTTAAATTACCGTCATTCTACCAGCCACCCATTTATGTCTAGAAACGTACTTGAGAAAAATGGATATCTGCTGTATATTTACTATGCTATTGTCTCTCAGTCCCAACCCCACTCTTGTACACCCAGCTTTGGGAAGGAAGTAGAGCTCTGCCAGCCACATTTCTTTGCTAGCGGCTGTGTCAGGCTCTGCCACTAGGGGGTGCTAGAGGAAGGCTGCAAAGATCGAAGAGGCAAGGAACTTGCTCCTTCTTTCTGCTTCCTGTGGCTTCAGGTAGGCCATCCCCCTAGCAACATTTCTTCTCCTAGAAGGAGCAATTCATTGTAGCAGCAATTGTATCCATTTTTTAGATTTCCCAACCCTCATAGATTCAGCCTCACCATCCCCTCTCAGAGACCCCAGCATCAACTACCAGTGCTCCCACCCCCCCACCCCCCTTCAAAGGTCTGAGGTTCAGCTTTGTGAGACCTTCTCCTAAAACTTCAAAGTATTAACCAGTCAATTTCTTCCCTTTGTTTCCTCAGTCCTAGGGGTGGTAACTGCTACTGAAGTTGGCTGTCTCTGTGGTTCTGTGAAGTTTGTGTGGGTGTTTTTATTGTTGTTTATTTCTACCTGTTCAGTCACCTAAGAGCTTTATACCTCTCTGGTGTAATTGGGTTGACTTTTTTCCTGACAGGACTCTGACTAATAACTGGAACATATCAGTTCTCCTCTGTATTAGTCAGGGTTCTCTAGAGAAGCAGAAGCAATAAATGTGTAATTCTATGTGATTATGCACAATTAGGAAGTCCCAAGCTCTGCAGGGTGAATTGGCAACTTGAACACCCAGGAGAGCTGAAGGCTGGCAGGCTTGAGACCCAGGAAGAGGCAGTGTTTCACGTCAGGTCAGTAGGTGCAGAAGAATTCTCTCGTACTCAGGGGAGCATCAGCCTTTTTGTTCTGTTTATCCCTTCAACTGATTAGATGGGGCCCACCTATATGAGGGAATGCCATCTACTTTATTCAGTCTATTTATTTTTTATTTTTAAATATATTTTATTGAATTTTTTTCAGAGAGGAAGGGAGAGAGATAGAGAGCTAGAAACATCGATGAG